AGGCTCACAAGAGGGGGGCAGAAATTAAGGACTAAAAGAGAGTGCAAGTGCAGAAGCAGAATTCTAAAAGGGGAAAGGGAAAAGGGAAACAGCTTAAATCAGTACACATAAGGGTATAGGGGAATGGGGGAGTTGCAAGAAGTAAAAAGGCAGGCTGATGGGCATACCCAGCAATGGGAGATGCTGGCACACCCTTAGGCCTGTTAGAACATATTGTTTAGAGGTTAAGACCCCCATGGATCAAACTTAATTCATGGACAACAACTTACATTGCCATGCCTTAAGTCATAACTCAAAACACATAGGGGGTAATAGGGGAATGGGGGTTCATAACAAACAAACAGAAGGAAATCAGCATGCCAATTTAAGTGCTGAGATATACAGAAACACCAAGCAAACATGGACACACAAGCAGTAAATACACGTTGTTGTAGTGCTAAAAATTAAATCCGGACATACCAGTTTCAGAGAAACACACAAAGAAAAAGCAGTAGGTCTTGTGAACGGGCCACAGTACAGACAAGAAGAGAATATTATTGTGTGTGAGTATGAGTTCAAAAGGATTCTGAATTGTGTCTGAGTTTGTGAAAGAGTCGTGCATTTATAGTGTTGAAAACCAGGCAGAAATAAGGTAAGAAAATAGTTAAGGAAATGAGTATCAATTAAGCATCAATTACACAAGACTTCCCTTAATTAAGGGATTCAAATTCAAACGGGTAAAAACAATTTAAGGAAAGAATTTGAATAAGCACTTTGTGCATAGCATGCAATTAGGGGCGGATACATAAAAGGTTATTTAAGGACAGGGTTTTGAAGTACATGGTTATACAAATAAGGTATGAAAATCAATTGACAACCAGTAAATCAAAGAATCAGGGATCTTGTAATTACTGACCCATGAATGAACCAAGTCGCAAAAGCTGCGAAGGGTTTTAACTTAGGTCGAGTCACAGAGAAAATCAGCAAACAATGGAAAGAAATCAATCAGACCATATTCAGAGGGAAGTATGAACTAATCACAAATTTGAAAGCCTCTTTAGAGGGAAGTTCATCATTTATAAGGAGCATACGAATATGTTAAGCATGAAAGAAGATTGCCATGTCATTGTAAAAATTAGTAGAAAAATCCAGTGTAGAAGAGTTTAGCAAAAAGTCAGAATCATATGAAAACAAGGATGTCCAAACTCAGTTCAGAGACTCGAAGTTGGTCTGAAAGAGTTAGGGGTTTTGAAATAAAACCATAGTTCAAGCAAATCACATGACCAAACTTGGAAGAACCCCCAAATTCTAGGATTTCCACCGTTAATCGAGTACAGAGATGAGAAGGCAAGTGATCAAAACAGGCTCAGAGGTCTCAAAGAAGAACTGAAACCTCTTGCATGTTTCTTTTAGCAGCAGCAACTCATGAGAAAACAATGATAGCAAGTAACACGCAGAACATAGTAGAAGAATTCAAAGAAAGTAGAGTAGAAGAAACTGATACGAAACATAATGGAAAAACTGATAAGAACAGTAGAAGAAGCATGCTAAGAAGTTTTTAGAAGACACTTAACCAGAGCTTAGCAGATGGAACTTGATAAGAAACACTTTAAGAACATAATAATGGAAAATACAGTAGAAGAAACACACGAGAATATAGTATAGGAAAATACAGTAGAAGAAATATACAAAAAGGCATACGAGAACACAATACAGTAGAAGAAGTATACATGAACACAGTAGAAGAAAATACAAGAGCACAGTAGAAGAAAATACAAGAACAAAGTAAAGGCAAATACACACAAAGGGAAAAAGAAAGTCAGAGAACATTTACATATTTTCAGAAAACCCTAGATCGGAAAAGAAATGGTTTTGAAAGTAATTTTTGAAAGAAAAGTCAAGAAAATCGTTTAAAAGCTTAGGGAACGCATAGATACACAACAGATCTAAAGGAATCGGAAAAACCTCGAAGGGTTAGGGTTTCAAAAGAACCCTAGTAGTAAGAAAGGCTTTGAAAAGTCACCGATCTAAGTCGGAGAAGTCCAAATCAGGCTCGAGCAACCATGGTACGCCAGAGTAAAACCGGAGATGGCCGTGGAACTCGAATCGAATGAAGCCTGGACCAAACCTCGTCGTGGCCAGTCCTTGAATCTTCAAAAATCAGGCGCGTGGGAGTCATAGGAGGCCGGTGTAGGGCTTCCATAACCTTGGAAGCCATGGATTCCGGTGGCTTTCAGGGCGGAAGTGGTGGCTAGGGTTTGAGAAGATTCGAGAGAGTTTGAGAGAATGGAGGGTTCAGAGGCGGCTGGTAGGTGGAAAATGAGAAGGGTTTGGGGTCATTTGGAATTAATTAAGGAAAGGGGAACGTGAGCCGTTGATCTGTTAGATCAACGGCTGGGATTTAAAGGGGGGCCGGGTGGGTTGTTTAAACGGGCTATGGGTCGGGTAATTTTGGGAATTGGGCTGGGGTTTAATTGGGTTCAGTTGGGGTAGAATTTAGGCTACAATCGAAATGAAATCTGGCTAGATTTTAAATATCCATTTTTCCCCATTTTTTTTTATAAAAATAGCAAATTAAATTCTGGAAATAAATTGAAAGTACCAAAAATGATTTATAACATATAAATATTAAATTAAAATACTGGAATCAATTTTGTAAGTATAAAATGCAATTAAATCTTAAAATAGGCTAATGTTGCAATTATATGCAATTTAGCTTAAAAAAAACTAAATAGATTTGTAAAAATATACAAAAATTATGTTAGCTACATTTTAGTATAAATATAAAATTTCAATAACTAAATTACCAAAAAATAATAATTTTAAAAATAATCATTGGGCTTTTATGGATGAAAAAGGGAAATAAATCAGTTTAAAACCTTAAAAATTATGGGAAAAACAATAAAATTCTTGGACATACTTATACATGCATATATATATATATGCTATTTTGAAGATATTCTGCATATAAAAAAAATAGACAGGGAAAAATTGGGTATCAACATTCTATCTCCTCCATGATGGCCCCCATAAGGTGATGCGTGACAATCATACAACACAAGTTCCACCTCTTTTTCAGGAATGCATCTCCTCATCAACTGATCAGCACATTGCTTGTACAAATAGGGTTCATCCTAGTAGTAGAAGTTCACATCATGTAAGAACATCTTTCTAGCTTCAGATTGGATTTCAGGAGGAAGTACCCCACTCACAAGATAATTCACATAGTCTGCGTACCATGGGGGAGGGTCTTGGGTGATAGCAAAAAGTTTCTCATCAGGAAATACTTCTGTAATTCGGCTACCCTCCTCCACGTGATCGTGATTTTTCAACCTTGATAGATGGTCAGCTACTTGGTTCTCTGTCCCCTTTCGATCTCGTATTTCTACATCAAACTCCTGCAGCAATAAAACCCGGCGCATCAATCTAGCTTTAGATTCTTTTTTTGTAAACAGATACATGATTGCTACATGATCGGTGTGGACTATGACTTTTGTTCCCACCAAGTATGCTCGAAATTTCTCAAAGGCCCACACAACAGCTAACAGCTCCTTCTCAGTGGTGGTGTAATTCAGTTGTGCATCATCAAGAGTCTTACTCGCATAGTAGATGGAATAAAACACTTTGTCCTTCCTTTGGCCTAGCACTGCCCCAATAGCAAGGTCACTCGCATCACACATAAGTTCAAATGGTAAGGACCAATCAGGTGCCACAATAATGGGAGCAGTCACCAACTTCTTCTTGAGTTCTTCAAATGCCTTGAGGCAAGCATCATCAAAATTGAAAGTTACATCTTTTTCAAGCAGTCTGCATAACGGAGTAGCAATTTTTGAAAAGTCTTTAATGAAGCGCCGATAGAAACCCGCGTGTCCCAAGAAACTCCGGACTCCCTTCACTGAAATAGGGGGAGGTAATTTTTCAACCGCCTCCACCTTTGCCTTATCAACTTCAATGCCGCTCCTAGATACTCTGTGACCCAACACGATGCCTTCTTGTACCATAAAACGGCACTTTTCCCAATTCAGTACCAGATTTGTTTCTTCACAACGGGCCAGCACCTTGCTTAAATTCCTCAAGCAATCATCATAAGAAGACCCAAAAACTGAAAAATCATCCATAAACACTTCCACGAATTTTTCCACCATGTCGGTGAAAATAGCCATCATGCACCTCTGGAAAGTGGCTGGTGCATTACAAAGACCAAACGGCATTCGCTTGAAGGCAAAAGTGCCATAAGGACAAGTAAAAGTGGTCTTCTCTTGATCCTCTGGGCATATTACAATCTGATTGTATCCCGAATAACCATCAAGGAAGCAATAATATTCATGTCCGGCTAACCTGTCTAGCATTTGGTCGATGAATGGAAGTGGGAAGTGGTCCTTTCGAGTTGCTTTGTTGAGCCTTCTATAATCAATGCAGACTCTCCATCCCGTAATAGTACGAGTAGGAATTAGCTCATTCTTCTCGTTCTCAACTACAGTCATTCCTCCCTTTTTGGGCACACATTGAACTAGGCTTACCCAGTTGCTGTCAGTAATAGGAATAATGATACCTGTATCGAGCAACTTGATTACTTCCCTTTTCACCACCTCTTTCATAATGGGATTTAATCTTCTTTGCTGCTCCACACTGGGGCGGTGTCCTTCCTCTAAAAAGATTTTATGCATGCAAAATGATGGACTAATACCCTTGATGTCAGCTATAGTCCACCCAATGGCCTTTTTGTGCTCGCGGAGTACTCTGAGCAATTTTTCTTCTTGAGTGTTGGTCAAGCTGGACGAAATAATCACGGGCAATGTCTCAGAGTTCCCCAAATAAGCATAGCGTAGATGCGCTGGAACTGGCTTAAGTTCTAGCTTCGGAGCTTCTTCAATAGATGGCCTGGGAAGGGTCAGAGTGACAGGCCTTTCCAACTCTTCAAATATTTTAAACCCCTGGACATAACTGCATGACATATCCAGTACTTGCTCAATTTCTCCCATCATTTCATCTTCACTATTTTCTACATCCCCAATCAATACTCATTCAACAGGATCTACAGGGCTCATATAGGGCACTAACGATGTAGCATCACTCTCCACCACAGAGATCATGGATAACTCTTCATAGTGGGCTGGTAACTTGAGTGCTCTATAAACATTCAAGACCTCCACTCGATCACCCACTCTCATTGTCATTCTTCCTTCGCAGACATCGATAATAGCTCGGCCCGTGGCTAAGAATGGACGCCCCAAAATAAATGGGACTTCCTGATCAGGCTCGTAATCCAAGATAATGAAATCAGCAGGGAATATGAAGGAACCCACTTGAACTAGCACATCTTCAATCACTCCCTCAGGATGAGCAAGGGAGCGATCAGCTAACTGTAAGATAACTGTTGTTGGGCGTGGCTCACCCAAACCCAACTGTCTGAACACCGATAGCGGCATCAAATTGATGCTTGCTCCAAGATCACATAAAGCTCGCCCAACAACAGTTTTACCAATCGAGATTTGGATAGTGAAACTACCTGGATCCTTCAATTTCTGCGGTAACTTGCCCTGAATTCTTGAACTGTACTCCTCAGTGAGTGCCACAGTCTCGAACTCGGTTAGCCTCCTTTTATTTGCCATAATGTCCTTGATGTACTTTGCATATTTGGGTACTTCTTGTAAGATGTCAACCAATGGAATATTAATTTGTACCTGCTTCAAGATATCAAGAAACTTTTTATATGCGGCATTATCTCTTAATTTCTGCAATCTTTGATGGAATGGAGGTGGTGGCCTTGCAACCAATTGTGGTGGTTGCTCAGCCACCGCCTCTCCAGCTGGCTTCTCTGGCTCCTCAGCTTTTTCTGATGTTGATTCTATAGTGGTTGGCCTCTCATTAAAAGTCACTTGTTTCCTCTTTTTAGACTGATCTTCTTCTAGTTGTCTCCCATTCCTCAACGACACGGCATTAAGGGTTGCCCTAGGATTCACTTCAGTGTCACTTGGAAGAGCTCCAGCTGGTCTAGTGTTTTGAGCACTGGCAAGCTGTCCCATTTGACGCTCCAAATTTCTCACTGTTGTGGCGAGGGCTTGCTGTTCAGCCATCAATTTTTTCAACATGTCTTCGAAGTGACTTGTAGGATTTGCTTGTTGTTCAACCTGAGGTGGTCTATATTGATGTTGAGGTGCTTGAGGCCTGTATTGATTCTGAGTACCTTGGATTCCACCCCAAGAGAAGTTTTGGTGGTTCCTCCAGTTGGGATTGTAAGTGTTTCCATATTGGTTTGTTTGGCCTCTATTTGAATTACCAACAAAGCAGACAGATTCTGGGTTAGCGGGGCATATGTCGCTCGTGTGCCCCTCTCCACATATTTCACAAAAAGCTTGAACCTGTTGTACCGGTTGTACTTGTTGCTTGTTGATACTCAAAGTCATCCGATTGACTTGGTTGGCCAGTGTAGGAGTCTGCGCTGATAATGCTAAGACGACATCTAACACTCAAGAACACCTGCAGACTTTTGCACTGTGTGTCTGCCCATCTCTCTTTGCCAATCCGGATTGCTCTTGGAGAATTTTTTTCAATAATGCATATATCTCGTCAAAGCTCTTCTCCAACACTTGACCCCCAGCTGCAGCATCTACCACAATCTTTGTTTCAGAATGTAACCCTTCTATGAAAGTGTGAGCTAACACTTTATTCGTCTGATTGTGATGAAGATAGTCTCTGAGTAGCCCCTTGAACCTTTCCCAAGCTGAGTATAAAGATTCTCCCGCTTTCTGTTTGAAGGCAACTATCTCACTTCTGATCTTTGCAGTTTTTCCTGAAGGAAAGAACCTTGCCAAAAATTTTCTCGCCAAATCATTCCATGATGTAATGGAATTAGCTGGTTCTGCCTTTAGCCATCGCTTAGCTTCGCCCAACAGAGAGAATGGAAAAAGTGCGAGCCTCACATAATCTGGAGTGACCCCGTTAGTGATATAAGTATCACTAATCTCCAAGAAGTTGAGAATATGCTGTTGTGGATCCTCGTGCGGAAGACCCATAAACTGCCCGTTTACATGAAGTAGCTAGATCATGCTCTGTTTCAGCTCAAAGTGCCCAGTGATCCTGGGCTTCACTATACTGGAGGTGACATGAGCAATGCTGGGCATCGCCACCTCCTGAACAGCCATGTGTTGCTCCTCTGCCATGTCCACAGGAAATTGCACAGGTGCCTGAATATTATTCGTGTCCCTTGTTTCCCTCAACCTCCTGTGAAATGTTCTCTCAGGTTCAGGATCAAAGCCTTCAAGTCGGTCCTGGCTTCTGACCCTACGCATTCAATCAAAGTTCCTGAGATCTGAGCAACAATCAAGTAACTTTAGACTCCACGAAATAAACAATTAAAGCAAAAACTAGAAAGTAGTTAATATTCAAGTCCCCGGCAACGACGCCAAAAACTTGTTGCTCCCAAACGCACACGCAAGTATACGTGGTCGACAAGTAATATAATGATAAGTTGAGTGTCGAACCCACAGAGAATTGTGTAAACTACTCACTAAATTACTAAAATTGTTATTCAATCCAGCTAAAATCAAAGTCCAATAATATGATTATACGACACTACGATTCTAAATAATAACTAAATTATCAAGTAACGAGTTGATTGTTGTGTATTCAGTAGAGACAAGTATTCCAGGGTTGTGATCGATTCACCATTCGTATTGTGTTCTAATTAACTCTCTCTTTCATATAATTCACTCATGGTTGCTAATTAATCGATAAATGCTCTCATAGCCTTCTCCTGAAGTACTACTCACCTATTCTCAATAGATTAACGCTTATATTCCTATGAAATCAATCTATTAAGAACGCATTAAGATTACGATATTTAATTAAGCATGGTGACTAGGTATATTCCTATCCTAACCACAAATCCGCTCCCCCTAAGGGTTAAGATCACGCTCTCTTCAATTCTTCTCTAATCTAAACACGACTTTCCCAAGCATAACATAGATAGTAAATAGAACCTAACTGCTGGCCAGACAATTAAGCAATTAAACACAGAATTGAAGAAACAACCATATATTGGTGAATTATAATCAAGGTCAAGTTAATATCAAACAACAATATTCATGGCTAAATCACAACCCCAGAACAATGGGTGTTTAGCCACTCATGATGTAATCAACCAATTGCATAAGTTTTGAATAATTGAAAATACTAGAAAAGATGAAGAATTCTGAGATGTTCTTGCTCCTCGATATTTCTTGTGTTAATTATCATCCAAAGTGCGTCTCTCCCCCCCCAAAATTAGGCTTAGTCTTCCTTTTATACGTGTTGGATAGGTCTAGGGTCGAATAAACCGTGTCCCGGGCAAAATAGGATGAAATCCGCATCAACGGCGCCCAGCCCGGGCCCAGGCGCCCACCAGGGCGCTGCCCCAAATTACACACTGTTTTTCGCGCCACAGGTGGTGCCAGGAGCTGCCTGTGGCGCCCAAATGACATTTTTTCCTGTTTTGTTCGTTTTAGCTCAAATCTTGTACGTTTCGCCCCCACTTGCTCCCGAATCATTCCTACAAGTAAAAACACTTCAAATTAATATAAATCATAGCATTTAACATCCCAAATTCACGAAACAAGAGTAAAATATGAGGCGATATACATAAAAATATATATACTTTAAGCTAAACATCGGTATGCATATCACTCACAGAACGACACTCAGGCCCCAACTCAGTCACTAATCTCTCTAGTCTCACGGGCTCACAACCATCATACTAAGCAGCCCTAATCAATGATGCGAGATGCGAAAATGTGCAATAACAGAGACTGACATATGATATGAAATGAGGAATGCGACTGAGTAGATAATTACAATTAAGCAAATAACTCAACATCAATGAACGACCACTATGGGCCCCAATAGTGTCAGCATATAGCCTAAATATGATTTTTAGCATAACTTACGACTCAAGTGTCCTAACCATAGTGTACAGCAAAAATGTTCAGATAAGAAGGCTACACAGTTCTATGGAATCGACTAAATCATATTTCACACGGTGCACGGCCACACGCCCGTCATCTAGTATGCGTGTCACCTCAACATCAATCACATAACACATATTTCGGGGTTTCATACCCTCAGAACCAAGTTTAGAAGTGTTACTTACCTTGAAGAAGCCAAATCCAATACCGAGTAAGCCAAATGATGCTCTAAAATGCCATCCCGCGCGTACCGACCTCCGAACGACTCGAAACTAGCCAAAAGCAACTCAAATACATCGAATAAAGCCCAAGGAACAATTCCAAATGATAAAGGTCAAATCTTTAATCAAAAGCCCAAAATCGGCCAAAAAGTTAAAACCTGGGTCTGTGCCTCAGAACCTGACGAAACTTATAAAATCTGATAACCCATTCAATTATGAGTCCAACCATGATAATTTCACCCAAATTCGATTCCGAATCAATATTCAAAACTCAAAAACTCACTCTAATGAAACTTTAGTCTAAAACCCCCAATTTCTCTTTAAAATTCAACAACCAATTGACATAAATGAAGATAGATTCATGAAGTAATATCAAAACCAAGTGTAGAACACTTACCCCAATCTTTGTGATGAATATTGTTTCAAAAGTCGCCTCAATCCGAGTCCCACATCTCAAAATTTGATAAAAGAACCGAAACCTCGAATTAAATAAAGTCTGCCTAGGCATTTTCGCATTTGCGAAATAGTAGCCTCTTCTGCGGCGTCGCTTTTGCGACCCAAAGCCTCGCTTCTGCGGAATCCACTAATCAGTCGACCACTCGCACCTGCGCACATTGTTCCGCTTCTGCGCAATCACATGTGCGAAGCCAAATGTGCTTTTGCGCTCCATTTCGCTTCTGCGTCCAAGTCCATCGCTTATGCGAAGCCGCAGAGGTGCCCAAATCGTTCGCGTCTGCGAAGACTCCACATACAGTCTTATCCTGCTTTTGAGATGAACAGCCCACATCTGCGAAGTCTCTTCTGCGATCAAGACTCCGCAGATGCGGCTACACCAGCACCAGAAATCTTCAGCAATGCAACAAGAGATAAAAATGATTTGAACCGCGTTCGTAACTCACATGAGCTCCTCGGAACCCCGTCCAAATACACCAACAAGTCCCATACCATAGCACGGACCTACTCGAGGCCTTAAATCACACATAACAATGTCGAAACGATGAATCACACCTCAAATCAAATATAATGAACTTCGAATCTTCCAACTTCCAAAACTCGTGCCGAAACATATCAAATCAACTCGGAATAGACTCAAATTCTGCACACAAGTCCCAAATGACATAAAGAAGCTATTCCAATTCTCGGAACCACAATCTGAATCCGATATCCTTAGAGTCAACTCTAGGTCAAACTTATGAATTTTTTAAACCTTCCAACTTCTCACTTTCGCCAATTTGTGCCGAAACCATCTAGAAGCATCCAAATGCAAATTCGGGCATACGTCCGAGTCCAAACTCACCATCCAGGCCTAACAGAACCATCAAAATTCTAATCCAAGGTCAAATACTAAAAATTCCAACTTGGTCAACTCTTCCCACTTAAAACTTAAACCATGGAATTCATTCTTCCAAATCGATTTCGAATAACCTGAAAACCAAAACCGACAATTTACACAGGTCATAATACATAATATGATGCTGCTCAAGATTTCAAATGGCTGAACGGAATGCAAATGCTCAAAACGGTCGGTCGGGTCGTTACACAGCTTAGGAACAAATGATCCAACCCCAATTAATTTAAATACCCGACCCTTGTTTTTAACCCATTACCGATCCATTGCCATCTTCTTCATCTCACAAACTCTCTTTTACTTTATACCTATTGTAATTTTCATTCTTCTGTTTCTGAACTTCTTTCTTAAGATTTAAGTTTTCAATATGAATTTTCTTCAGCAAAAGTTTTAGGATTAACTTCTCTATTTTGAATTGATAACTTGTTTTGTTTTTGTTATATTTTTTTATGGATCTATTAAATTTCATTGTATAGTAGAACAGAGATGCGAAGAAAACTAAGATGAATCGTCTTATTACTCATCATCTTCATTTCTCTATTCTTTAATGGTTATTGAAGTCATGAAATGAGTTCTTTATTAGCCGAATGAACATGGAGATATTTGATGATTGAGAAATGGAGAAGAGGAACAAATGATAATCAGATATTTAAATCGTATTAGTAGGAAATGGAGTATAAGATCTTAGTAGGAAATGAAGATCTTAGCAGTATGAGTCAGATCGGAGTAGTAGCAAATGGATTTTTCTCGGTTGCGTTTCCTTTTTTATGAAAACTCCAAATTGTTCACTTATGTCAATTTATTTCAGCTATTTCTTCTTGTGTTTGTCAAATTGTTGGAAGATTTTTTTCATTTTTTTTCCATAAGATTGTAACTTAAGTTTAGCTAAAAGAAAT